TACGTTCACAAAATAACAAATAATGATAATATTATGTACTTTTGCGTTATAAGCTTATAAAATCCTTGTAAGTGGGTAAAAATCTTGAAAAGTGATTTAAAAAAAAAAATGGATTTTAATGTTAAATGCCATAAAACATTAAAATACTCTAAACATTTAAAAATGGTCAAAAATTGCAAAATAGAAACTTCTTATTTAAAAATACCTATATGAAAGGGGTATCTAACAAAACGAGTATTGCATAACTAACGCTCTGAAAAACATAGCAAAATGCATCGAAATTCAAACTCTATACTCTATAGTGTCTATAATATTATATATGAATGTCTTAGATTCTAAGTAGTATTATATACGAATTGTAGATTACCACCTTCAATAATCGTAAATCATCCCATTAAATGTATTTTTGTGTTTTGATTTGATCTCTGATTAGGGTCTTAAGATAATGTGTACTTATATGTAAGCAGGTAATGGGTTCTTAAAAAAAAAAATGTCGAATGTAAAACTTACACCAAATTACACTATACCTACACTATTATTATTTTGTTGAAAACGTAAGAAAATTCGTATTTTATATGTATTTAAGACATTGTAATGCATATAATAGGTAACAACGGTAATCACTATACGGATCTAACAACTATTGAAACATATCTTAAGAAATATGTAGGTAACCATATTTAAAATTGACTTAAAAAAAAAATGTAAGAGCCATTAAAATACCAATACAAATAATAACTATTTTTTTTTTATAATTATAAAGTAAAAAAAGGTGGGCACCGTTCTACTGTATAGTAGGTGTCGAGTGCGTCACTGTCATGGCCCATGGGTGCGTTTAATTTGAATTTAATGTTATAAAAATATTGTATACGGAAAAAGATTTTGATTGAAAACGGTCTTCAGTCTATAAATTACCAAGTACCTATACTTTATGGTATTGCAATTAAAGAAATTTATTTTACTACTACAGGATAGGTTGAATTATTTTTTGCCAAACACATTGAAATTAAAAATGTCATTATATGTAAAACAAATTAATATTCTTTAATAGTTTCAAGTACCAACGAATGATATTATTAAATTACCACAAAATAACTAAAACCGTTATTTTCATTAAAATATCTAATTTCGTAAAAATTCGAAATTAAAATGTTCTATAGTAAAATTATTTAAATAAATATAGTAAAAAAATATGTTTGTAAATTTTTTAGAGGTTTTGGTTACAGTATTTCAAAAATGTTTAATTACAAACTCATTTTTGAATTTTGATGATTTTGATGAATATTGTAAAACTATTAATCTTGAATGCTTATTTAATAAAACAGTTCATATGTATCTTTAATATTTATAAACTGCTATTTTAACAACTTATGAGGATAAGTGTATACAATATACTGGCATATAGGTATCTAACCTACTTTATAGATAAATCTTAATAATTATTTTGTGTTGTAGGCACTCTGTGTATTCCTGTGATCTCAAATATATCACCCTCAAGAGCATGTGATAGTGTACTGTATAATATTATTACTATTTTAAACATTTAATAAACCTTTGTTTGTGTTGCTATATTATGTTCAATTGTGTTGGCTTATGAACGCAGGTCATAAGTTTCTAGGACCTGCAAAATACAACTTAGAAAAATGTTTTTTTATCAGTCTAACAACCTGGTTTAGACCGGTTCGTGTATAGTGAGAATACTGAATGGCTAACCAACTTCTCCTTAACTGGATAGGATTGGGTATAAGTATCGAAAACCTCTTGGTTTGAAAGAACGAAGGAGGTGTGTTGCAGTACTCTGGGAAGTAAATATAGGTAAAAAGATTTTTAAATATCTTATAATTAGGAAAAAAACTAACGAAAACAGTTGATAGAATTTAGTTTTGTTGTTGTAATTCAAAATAGAATATAAGCATGCAGTCATACAATTTTAACATTTTGACTTTCTTTGAGCTATTCATACACCTTTGAAATTCTTTTTTGATTTATATTAATACCCATATGGTACTCGATAAAGATTTTAAAATAAACAATTTACGAAGTAAGATCAAAATATCAAAAATATGTGGTCACAATTTTTTTTTTTATGTGGGAAGTTCAAATTTTTGTTAAAGACATGATAATTTGCAATAATTTGACAGTTGAATATTTATATAATTTTCTCTTTGAATTATCAAGACTTGTAATACAAGGTTTTTTATAAGTTGTAGTTACTGGAAATAAAAATTATATTTAGCATAATGTCACAATAGTTTATATATGGCCGTTTGAAAGTGAAGTTTTTGAAAAATCATATAGCTAATAAACAAAAAGTAATGATTTTGTTAAGTTACCTTTTATAATATAAAAGTATTAATCGTAGTAATTTGTAGCTTTCCAACATTATTTCTACATACATTGATATTTTCGATATGTTTTGACTATTATAAGCTAATATATTTATAGTATGAACCTATATTCATACTATTCTACGACACTGACTTGTACGCAATTTTTTCCCGAACTTTAAGTCCAGCATACTATGTAAAGCAATAAATTAACAATAATATTATATAATAATATATCCGTATAAGTTATAAACATAAAAACTGATCCATTCGTCTCTAAATTTCAAAACCGTTCGTTCATCTACAATGATAAAATTGAATTAAAATGTAATATATCGATTTAACTATTTATTAAGTAACCTACTCAATAATGAAGGTTCCCTGGTTTTTTAGATGACGGCCATTCACAAATTTAAATGTGTAGCCTCCGTCAACATGTCAAATTTGAGTTCAGCAGAATCAACTTTTTGTTGTGAGCTTTAATATTATAGTGCATTTACCGTAGATTACCGAACTTATCTTATTTTTGTTTGTTTTTACTATATTTCAATTTTCAAGTGAGTTATAAATATGTAAGATATTACAATTTAAAAATGGACATTGCTCGCCTAAAAATTAAAATATCTTCAAAATATAACTTACTAACACAAGTAATATTTTTATATTTAAATTTGGGTAATAGTACAATCGATTTAATATTAAATCTTAGTTCTCACACAAAAATCTAATACAAAATAATTTGTTTCTACATAACGATAACTTACCATGTTTTTCGTTTGGAAGATGAAGACATGCTATAGTCTGATGTCCTCATGTGTATGCATTTAATAGTTGAGATTAAATAAATTTTTTATGTAAGATGAAAACAAAGATAAAAAACCTTTTTATTTTGAGTGAATGTAAAAAAAATATGTACTATTTATTACAGTTGTAGGTCGTGATGATTAAAAAAAACCATAATTCAACGACATGATTAAAATAAAATGATAACAAGGAAACCACATTCATGTAGCCTGTTATACATTGATCAAAATGTTCGTGTATTTTACGTAGGTATAAAAACTTATACATTTTATAAATGCAAACAGTTATAGTCTATAGGTACCTAATTAAAATATTTTATACACTTAGTATGTAAAGTATACCTAAGTATCGTAAAAATATTAATGGTGTATGATATCAATTTAACCATCAAATATATTTTAAAAAGAGAATTGTAGTTATTAGGTGATTAGAATATTACAAGGCTGGGCAAGTTAAGTCAAAAGTTAAGTTAATTTCAACTTATTAATTTAACTAACTAGTTCAGTGTTTTAATCAACTTAACTTTAACTTAACTCAATTCCTTTACATTAACTTAAAATCAACTAATATTTTTCTTTATTTTCCCAATTAAGTTAATTTTTAATGTTCCTACTATCCACAAAAATATTTTGTCTATAACGGATTATAGTAATTATTATAAGTTCGTAGAATGTAGAAAATATTATCAGAAAAAAAGTAAGATATATTTACAAAGAACTTCGTATTTATGTTTAAAGATAAAAACTAATATATTGTATTAATAAGAATAAAATAAATCGTATTATTTTAATTTAACAACTTCAATAGGTATATCATAAACTTAAATAATATTGTAATAATATATTATATTGACTTAAGAGGACGCTACCCATAGATTTGTTGTCTCCGTCATACACACGCATGACATAGCAAATTGTCGTTCACTATAGTTTCAATAGTGTGCTATTAGTTTTGATACTAGGGTGAATTGACCTATTATAAATCTTTCAGGCAAAATCATTATTTGTGCTTAAGCGTTGCTGATTTTTCGAAATTTTCATTTTCATGCAAGATATGGGTATGTGAAATATCAAAAATTAAAAATGCTCATATCTCGCATGAAAATTAAAATACCGAATAATGAAAAAAATGTATAATGGGTCAAATCACCTTAATATCAAAACTAACAGCACACTATTGAAACTAGTGAACGAAAATTTGCAATGTCATACGTGTGTGCGACGGAGACAACAAATGCATCCTCTTAATAGTTAATAATCACTATAATAAACTGTGTTTAGATTAGTTTCCGATTGCACTTATCTTATATATATACTACATAATTATGTCCTATATGATAAATACACAATGTTTAATGATCAGTGGCGTACCCAGGAGTACTGAGGGGATTGCCATCCCCCCAAAATTTCACGAAAATTAAAAAATGCTTTTAGTGTCCCGTGGACGTATTACGTGAGACGTAACCACCATGTATTAAAATTGTAATTTCTTTGAAGGTTGCTGCAAATTACAAAAGCCTAAAATGTTATTACCAGCGATCAGTATACCACACTTATGAAGAACTCTATTTAAACCTTTCTATTCAATATAAAAAATTATCAGCACCCAAATCCACAAAAAAAAAATTCGAAATTGACACTCATGCACATTCAATGGCCTATACGAATTTGGTTTTATTATATTTTGAAAATAGGTTATTTAACAATAATGATTAGAACATTAATACTATTTGTATTTTATGTAGGTAAGAAAACAATAAATATATCAAAATTAATGCATTGCAAAAATTTTAGCACTTCATTACTTGAAATATACAAATGTATTATTAAATTATGTTTAGGAATATTATTTTAGTTTGATTTGTTACATCTAAGCGACACGTGACTTCTTTTTCGCCATCCGTGATTGTTTTACGGTCATATTCGATTTATTACGTTGAAGTTGAAGGAAACTTAAGACCTGTTTGTTTAATTCATCCACCAAATTCTGTAAATAAATGAACGACGTTAGGACACAAAAAACACAAAAACAATTTGGTCTATTAGTACATGACGGCTTTCAGTTTTATTATCCATTTCTGTATTTAAAAGGTTTATGGTAGTATCTTGCAGAGTAGTTATTTCTTTTATTTTATTTATTAGTCCTATTGTTTTTTCAATTAATAATTCATTCGGATGATTATCCACGATTCGTTCTTTGATTATATCCTACGCAAAATGAGTAAGTAGGTATTTAATATTTTAGTCTGTATATTATAATAATTCCTATTGTATTTGATTAGATATTAATACTTGACTGGCTGTCATGAATTCAAACAATGCATGGTAATTCAAATTTGGTGTTGAACTATCGATTTGGTTGGTAACATTTGAATCTAACAAGTTAATACAACATTTGAATAGTATAATATATTATATTATGTACATATAAAAAATTATATTTACTTGATTTGATTATTGATTTCTGTAAAATAGTAGGTGGAGGAATTTGATGTGGTATTGAACTGATAAAACGGAAATCATTATAATCTACAACACTTGTTTCCAGTGTAATACCTGTGACCTATTCAAAAACCATAATTTACCCAAAGCTTGAAAGCAATCCAAGTCTCAAAATATACAGTACTCAGTAGGTAGATAAATCATGTGTTAATTTACTGAGATCACTAATATAACATATAATATAACACATGGTTTTTTTTTTTTTTTATTTAAGTTCAATAAAAAAAAAAAAAAAAAATCATGTGTTATATTATATGTTATATTAGTGATTTCAGTAAATTTACGTACTACTTTCTGTGCAATGTTGCCATATTTTATTATTTTCAATAAAATATATATATATATATAAACTGTATATGTTCAATGTCGGTTTGTCATTTATATAATACCTATTATAGTGCCATTGATAATAAATCTACCAGACACAGCATGATAATGTACTACCGAGACATTTCACCCTAATGGGTAGGCCATATAAATTTGTTCAATTTTTACCAATTGCAATAACGAATCTAATATTATGTAAAGCAAGAATGCAAGATAAACCATTAACACATAATAACACAGATACTTAAGTGCTATAAGCCGATATTTATGGAGATATTAAGTTATACAAGTGGTTTTCCTTTTAAGTAATAAACTTTACTTAATTTTCCATTATTGACTATTTCAAAATTTGATTTCTATAACTCACCGCAATTTATACTTGCACAGAATTACGAGGTCGCCGACTGGTGATTAGGTAAAATGTATAACGTACAACAGCGATATAATTAAGATATGATACAACAACAACTTATCTGATATAGAATGATTGTATGTTTGTTGAACGTTATATAAATATTACTATAATAGTTTGGTAAGTAAAATGTTTGCCAAGTAATAAATATAGTATATATAAAATACACTAAAAACAAAATGCAATACATTTGAATATGTCTGATAACATAGTCGCAATATATTTGGCAAAGAAGCGAACCCTATAGTTTTGTCAACTTAAATAATATACTTAATGATGTATACAATATAAAACGCTATAACTAAGTCAAATAGTCAAATATCTATGTAACCTTATGGGAAGCTGGAAACATTGCACAAAAGTCTTAGATACAGAACGTTTGCCTTAAAATGTGAACAATTCCGTTCGTCGATAGGCTCGTAGGTCCGGGATCATGTTTTACCCGATAATTTAAATTTTAGGTTTTCAGTATTTTAAATGTGTTACCTTTTTATCGTATGCGCACGAAATTGTCCAATCATGTTGGTTTGTATCATTTATCATATCAATGTAATCGTTGTCAATATTCTTGATTAAAATAACCTCGATTACAAATACTAATTTTGTCGAGTTTTCAGTTACAGAATCTTTTGATTCTGAAAACAGACACAATGTTAACAACAAATTACTTTAAAGTGAATTGATAAAAATAACCCAGGTATATACAATATACATTAAAATACTTATTTAATATATAGTTATCAAATCAAACACTCGTGTTTTGAAGTATAAATAAAATCAAGATTCTAGACAAAATTATGCTCTAAATAAAGATTTATTAGGTACCCTACGTATTAACATATAATTTTCAATTTGTTTTGAGAGGTGAAATGTACAATTTAGTATTTACCACCAGTAAAGTAAGTTATTATGCTTTGGTAGGCGGTAAATGTTTAGGTACTATGACAATACTGATATGGGCCTGATTAGTTAATCTGGTCACCTATATGGCTATAATGCTATTCCTAGGGCTTTGGTACTTTCAAATTCATTATATAATTTTCCATAATAGTGTTATAGTAAATAACTACTAAATGTAATTAAATATAATCGGTAATTGCGAATTCATAACGTAATCTAAGTATATTGGTGTAATATTACTAGCTGTTTTGCCTGCCGTGGCGCGTACCAAAATTATTAGAGACAAATAATAAATAGAGAAATAATTTACCGATAAAAATTTACTTAAATTTGGTAAATTTTGATAATTTTACCATAGGGACATCCCAGGAACTCTACTGCATTTTCAAGAACTCATAATTATAGTAACATTTGTTTTTTTTTTTACTGGATAGTAAGGTGTTCAATTTGAGTGGTCCTTACTTTTAATTTTTTTAATTGTTGTGACCAATCCCCCTAATTAGGTTAAAATATGTATAAAAATGATGTAAAGGAAATTTTAACATAATCAGATAAGTTTAACTAGTGCCCAAAGCCCTCAAAAGTTTAACATTACTAATATTTTAAGGAAAAAACAAATTTTAATTTAATAAACAATTCAAAATAATTTCTTTATTTTTTATTAATTTCAGTAAATATTGTATTTTGCATTTATTTATTATAATTATTCCATAAGTGCTTTTGTTGGAATTTAAATAGTTTAGACATTTTACATTTTATAATATCAACTATTTAATTCTATTTATATGCTATGACCTATGACTGATAAATATTGGCATTATTAAGACGTTTAATTTGAGGTGCCACATTCTAATTTTTTAATTATGTATATTTACCGAGCTTTTATCTCTAAAAATTATTATTAATATTATATATCTGTAACCAATGGTAACCCTATAAACAAAATAAATAACATTTTCTCATTTCGTGATTTCAAAAAAAAAAAACATTCATGTGTGAGCTACCCTTTAGTTACCTATAGTGGTTGAAAAATAAGGTATATTTGGTATACACGGTTCAAGTCTCAATGAATTTATTGATATAACTTATATTAAAAACGATCCAGTAGTTTTTTGCTCATTTTAGTCTATTAATTATTAGTAATATTACAGACAGACAGATATACCAACATCCAATTTAGGTTTCTAAAGTCTAAACATACGTTTAGAGCACCTTATACCTCCACTGGCCCCGCCTGTTAGATATCAGTAGCCTACATATTTACGATTGATGATGTTAATCTTTCCATTTTAATATTATAATTCATAATTCAAAACAAACAACTATAAATACACTTAACTAGTCTTACTAGGTAGGTAATATAAATATTTTAATACTATAGATGAACAAATTAATAGTTTGATAACGGTTCTATTCAAACTATATTCATACTATTCAGTATAAAATAATGTTAGCTATAAAAAGAAAAACTGTTATACATTTCTAGCTAAAAAATAATTTATAAAATTTGAAAAAATTTTAATGGCTATAAATAGGTCAAAAAGAGTTAAAATAGTATGCAAATTTTACCATGCATGGAAAATACTAATATAAACATTTAGAAAAAACGGCTGTTTATGGATATTCGTTGTTGAATTAGGTACAACAAAATATCAAAAAATAGATAAATGGGAATTCGTTAATTTACCTCTAAATATAAATTATCGTAAACAATTTTAACTCCAAACATTTAAAAACACTCTATTACTCTGGGAATTTTCAATTTTGACCTAATGCACCAATCAACTAAGTTCACTTTTCTATCAGAGAGGTGATGATATCGAAAATTGGAGCATTTTTATTAGGCACCTACCTCGATTGTTGATGACAGGCAGAAAAAAAAACATATCACTGTAAATACGACTGCTATCTGAAAATTGACATCCGAATTTGTTCCCGACATCCCAGGCAACACACATTTCCCCGATAAAGACTTTTGAAAAAGGCGAAACCCAATCTAATAATTTATTTAATATTATTATAACATATTTCCAATCTTTATAAGTACTGGAGTATAAAATGAAATAAATTGTCATTTCGATAAAACCCGTGACAAAGCCAGTGTTATATTATCGATATGGATGGATATCTAGTCCGTACGGAATTCCTACTCAGATTCCTAACTCTGGATCAGCCCCTGCTACTATCTACCATGACTATTTAAAAATATAAGGAAACAGAACACTAATAGGTAAAAAAAGAGAAATGGTCGAATTTAAAAAAAAGATATTTAATTAAAAATAAAATTGACATTTATGACAAACTCCACAATTTTTAACCATACCTGCATGATATGTAGACAGTCCTAAGTCTGTATGAAATGGGAAGGAAAATTGAAAATGTTTTGACCCGGGAATTCAGGAACCGATTCGGATATACCCTTCGTAACAACCCGGGAACCAATTCGGATACACCGGTAAATACAATACATTCATTCGTTATGCTCAGAATCTAAAAATATCAAAATACAAGTATTTAATATAGATTCATATTAGCCGACATATAAAATTTTAGCCACTCAAATATAAATGTTATTTAATTGTATATGGAATTGTAATTTCTTGCGTATTTTATAATATGAAAAAACACTCATTAACCGAGAATTTAGCACGCTCGATAAGTGGAATTTCCTAACTTATTGTAATGAGGATATGATATTCATAAATAAACAATTTATTTTACTCACGTGATTGTTTAGAATTCACAATTTGTGAATTGTTGTTGACATTTGGATCTAAAAATATAGCTGGAATCATTGCTGTTTTTCCGCGTGTACGATACGATGCAAATACTGTTGGATCACCAGCAGTAAGATTTATGTCTACTACTCGAATTTCCATCATTACATCATCTAAGTGTTCTAGATGACAGTATATTGTGTATAAAGCTGCTTTTTCGATGTTCAGTATCGCCCTGGGCAGTGGGTAGAAAAGCAAAAGAAAATCAATGTATATTATGTACGTTTTCCCAACGTGTTACATATTAGTTGTTTACTTACCTAGCCAATAGGTTCTCAGCATTTGGCTTGTAAAACCTATTTTTCACCTGCTTAATAACAAAATCGGGAGTGTAAATATTATCACATACAGTTGGATTGTATTTCTGTGAACTATAATCCCTTTGCGTTCCGCAAGAGTGTAATATCTCGTACGGACGTCCAAATAATTCCAGTTTATAGGTAAAGCTTTTCAAATCTGGAACTTTTTCCGAAATCCACGCTATTAGCGAGTACCCCTTAGTGGTATTACGAACCATATACATATTCATTTCAATGTTCGCCGGTATCACTTCCATTTGAGTATCGTTGTCGATCAATGTTAAATTAGTATTGCAATTGTTGTTATTTTTGTATGAAAATTTCAAAATTGTAGGCACCAATTCCTAAGACATTAAAACAATTGATTTAAGCTTTTTTTCTGGACCAATAAACATTAGTTATACGACTCTAAAGATTAGATTTGTTAGCACTTAGCATATGTACTTAATACATATTTTTACGGATTTTGTAGGTATTGCTTCAAATCGATTATGCAAATGTAATAATAAAAATAACTGCTCCTCGAATGATATTATTAAATGTAACAATGAACGGGGCTTAAAAAAAAGTAAATTAAAATATTGTTCTCTCATAATATAGTTTTCAAATAGGGATAATTTAATACATGTACAAAGTAAACAAATAATAACAAAATGTCAACATATAATATGTGTAATATAAGACTGAAATTATTGCTATTATTTTTGTAACGGGTTGGCTCTGGAATTAGGTACTTATCCAATCTTTAAGTATTTTTTTCTTTAATTTACCAAGCACACCGCTGATCAGGCTTTAAGAATAGTTTAAATTCAGTGTATTTATAAGCAATTAAGTTATGAACTTGTTTACATAATAGCAAAATTTATGAAATTTTTAGAGCTAGGTGCTGGTGTGCTGCAGTTTCAATTTCAATATAAATGCGTATACTACAATATATATTATATTTTAGATTCTGAGCGGAGCGAGGAAGCTAGTGGTCTTACAATAGTGTTTATTTATTTATTTGTTTTGAAGTGAAACTTCTTTAAGCAGGGTAGTGAGGAAAAAAGAAAACCGAACGGATGGCGCCAGTGTTGCCAGACTCTCAAACTAATATTATCGTAAAGTAATTAAATAATTATCTTTTTCAAAAAAATTATCGTACACCAAAAAATGTTTTGCTTCAGTGCCCAGATTATAATACCCTGTACAGTGTACATATATATATAATATAATTATATATATTTGTATAAATATTATTATTATTTTTTTTTTTTGGCTTAGTATAGGCCATTAAGGCCCTTTGTCGCAACTACCACCTCCTCCCATCGTTCTCTATCCTTTGTCATCTCTTCCGGATTCTCAACTCCTATTAGCTTTAGGCCTTGATGTACTCGGTCACTCCATCGTTGTCTCGGTCGGCAGAGAGGTCTCTTTTTGTTTGGTTTCCATGAAGTTATTTAATTTAATATTTTTCCTTCAGCACGCCAGACATGTCCTGCCCATCCGATTCTTTTGCTCTTCATTACTGCTACTATGTCCGGTTGGTTGTATAGTTCATAAGTATATATATAGATATAGTTTATATATATTTTATGTGAGAATTGCGATTCCATATATGTAATATTATTACCACGAGCACGTTTATCGCATTTGTATAATATGTTATCTTGTACCACTAATGGACTCCAGACACAAGACACACGTTTTAAATCATACGTACAACAAGGGTATTATAATCGTATATATATATACACCATACACATAATATGTTATCATGACGGAGACGACGAATATGCATACAATATAATGCGTTGCAGCGTGTATATAAAAAGCTTCGTGGTGCCGATGGGATTTACGATATATTATTATAAATACACTAGTATATGGTCTGATTGTATACCACCAATGTACCTATACAGTACCTAACTATAATAATATATATATATGTAGGTATACCAGCAGCGTGTGTACGATTGTTGTTGGTACATTAAAAAATACACATGCCGGCGTTTGTTGACATTTGGTCGCGTTGTTTGATTCATTACCATGTGATTACCCGGAAACGACTTAAATAATAATAGTGTGTGCAATGAAAAGTTTGTAATAAATGTGTAGAATATTGTACGAACGTTCAAAATGTTTGTTAGTTCGCAGTTCGGTTATTATTAATTAATCCAAAAAATGAAAGTAAGTTAGCCAGATCGATAGATAATCGTTTGCAGTATTGTTTTTATCCAGAAAAAAGATTTGTGAGTGAATTTATTAATTAATATCAAATAAAAAAAAAATTAAGAGGTACAACCGTAGTAAGTGGGTCGTAGCGCGTTAGTTAAGTGACTTTTTTTTGCTGCGAATAAATATTATATAAAAGAAAGTTGCAAAATAAAAAACAGATTCATCTATCTTGGGCCATACTAATTAATATGAATAATAAATGATCGATTATTATAGCATCTATACTGAGAGCCCAATATCAGTTAACATCTAGTATATTTAATTTATTGTTATTAATTGATTAATTCACTCACAAACCTTTTTCCTGGATAAAAACAATAGGTACTACAAACAATTATACATCGATCTGTCGAATAAAATAAAAAGTAATAAAAGTATCAATAATAAATAATTCCGGATAACTTCCTCTCATTTTTTAAATTAATTAATATTAACTCACGTGTACCGTTCAAAAAAAGTTTCACTGCGCGTACTAGTAACACACACACTTTTTTTTATATCCTGTATAAAAAAATTATTGAACATTTTAGATGTCATACTTAACAATTAAAATAATTGTCACGGTTTGACCAAAACATTAAATCATGCCATTGGATAATAATCCTTATTATATTATATCTGTATACATAATATTATGATGTAATATTTAGGTCCATAAGTTATAAGAAAATCTTGAAATTCCCAATTATGATTTCATATTATAACACCCGAGTATTCATTAATAATAATAGTATGTTAGATTCTGAGCGGAGAAAGGAAGCTAGTGGTTTTACACCAGGTGTTTAATTTTTTTTCTTTTTATATCCTGTATACAAAATTACTCGATTTCAATATATAGTACCTTATCTTTTAGAAAATTGGATCAAGATGGTACTTTAAAAAGGTCATTTTTCGATTTTATAAATAGTTATTTAATGCCACAGCCAAAAATTGGATTTTAATTTCGAACTCTTTGTTTATTACCATAGAAACGAATAAAAAATAATAATATTATAATATCAATTCAACTTACATGATATAATAATATTAATGACAATATAAAATATCCAGACTGACAAACCATCTCCGCTCAGAAACGTTTTTCTTATACAATGATAGAATATCTTTGAATTCAAGTTTAATACAATCCATTATACAATGACCCACTTGTAACCTACTGTATAGCAGAGCGACATCCACTTACGGCTTTTATTTTTATTTTACACAATAATATAAACAATCTGTACAGTTGATGCACAATAAGCATATTTGATAAGGGTTACAATAATACATGAATACTTGATAAGAAGGCACCCATTAGTGGCACTTGACTGGATGTTGTATGAATCTAACTATTTACTATATTATAGTATACATATTTATTGTTTTTTTTCTTCTCTCATATTATATTAGTATATATGATTGAAAATTTTAAGAAATAATGCTAAATACCACCCCCTCTTTTGACTACCATAATTTTGGTGGAACAAGTGATCATCTCGTCCACATTGCATTTGAATGTTGAAGTCAACCAGCGAGAAATTTAAATTTTTTAGCAGAGGTATTCCACATACCTCCTAAATCCCCAAGATTCAAAACGTTGTTTTTTTTTACCATTAAGTAGGTATCTACCTAACAAAATTGTGGGCATCAATCGGATACTGTTGACCGCAGACAAGTTCAAACAATTAAAGTTAGGTAGGTTTTTAAAAGGTTTGTAAAGATATTTGTACGTAGGTACCTATTATAGATAGTTGGTTAAATTAAATATTAATAGAAACAACAATTATTATTATGTATTTATCACTCGGGTGAGTTTTTTAAGTCGTGTAACTCAGCTAGTTATTTATATTTTTACAATATTGTTGATTTTTCGATAAATTAATTAAACTTACTGATGTCGAATGTGTGTTGAGTTCTACACGAAACAATAACAACGCATCAATAGGTTTTGTGGTATTCTCATCATAATTAACAGTAATCATATAGTTGGATAAATCATTTTTAAAATGATATTCATCCAAGTCAATCTCATCAGAATGAAATACATTGCTACAAGTCGCATACTTAATATTATGAAATGTAAATCTAAGAGAAGAAAAAATGAACTTACCATAATACTTCAAACATATTTGCATAAATAAGTTTTGATGTCGTTGGTTTAATATGCACTTTGGACGAAATTGTCCTAATATAAATAATCATTTATAAAATCACGTTTTACGATTATTGAACTGATTTTAATGCTTACGTGGGAGTACTTTTACCATGTGTTATTTTAGATTTGATAAGAGATTTTTTTATCACTATAGACCTATCGGTTTTCATTTTTTTAGTACTTTGAGCAGCTTTTGGTTTTTGTATTATTTTTTGTTTCGAAACAAATTCGGTAATCTGTTTTAGTCCCAATGTTTTGTTTTGTAATAATTCTTGTAATTCCGTGTATAATTCTGTCGTAGCGTTTACATCATTAAGGGATTTACTCTCTAAACAGTTTACCATAGCTGTTTGAACTTGCTACGAATTTATATTAGACAATATTAGTTATTTCCTATAAATAATTTATTTGATATCGTTAGTGTACTTTCGAAATATTCGATAATCTTTCAATTTTCTTCAATTCGGTTTCGTTGTTGGCGGACTGTGGCATAAATGAAGAGTAAAACTTTAGTAAGGCTTGTCCACGGTCACCTGTATTTGGCTCCGTAGAACATAGATTTGTAAACGTTTGCTTTAAAGACACTAAAAATATGTAATATCATGTGTATGAATAATGAATATTCAACATTTTTATTTGGCTCTATTCAAGTAGGTGTACTATGAGCGGTGAGAAAATTACTCCAAGAACGTACAACACCGTCTGCAGGCGTTGAACGTTTACATGTAGAATATTAAGTAACTCGTTGTTGTTAAAATAGTAATCTTCTCAACACCAAACCAGACATCGGGAATTGTGAAATACCACGTGTCGTTAATTTATTTTATATTTTATTAGTAGGTACGAGTACCGGAGTACCTCAAGTGTTAAACTAAGATTATAATTAGTATATCTTACATAGTCAAACATTCAACAGAACAAACTCACCGAGTAAGGACGTCAACGATTTTGGTTGCTCGTTGAGTTTTTCGTAAACGGCTTGCACCGTATGTAAGAGGGAGAAGTCTACCGTCGATTCGATTGTCAGCGAATACTTGGCCGGCAGTCCACCCCATATTTTCAACACGTTTACTCTGTTTGTTTTTTTATATAGAAACGCGATGTCAATAATAATAATAATAATAATAATGACAATAACAATATACCATACGAGTATTATTACGCCTTACACGTATATGCAAATGTCACGCATGCAGACGGTATGCATATACTCACCCAGGTTTAAAATTGATCACGACGTTTGACACTCCTCTTGTGCGAAGGGCAGACACCAGTGTCGGAAGTTTCGTCTCGTACCAGAAAAATTGTTCCACGTTAATATATGGATAATCAATTACAAAGCGATTTGAAGGCGCGTCTAGTTCAATATTACCGTTATGGATTGTATAGTTTTTGCAAACTGATAATGTGATCAGCATAGCCTGACAATAAGGTGACTCGAAATCTATTCATTTATCTTTTTTTAAGGAATATTACACTGATAAATAGGTACATCTAACTATGGTTATGTGCAGTGTTCAAGTAGGTATGTACAGTTGTGTATTTGTGTTCAAAATCTCTTTCCAAAAAGGATACGTAAATAGGCGCAGCAGGTATTGTGCGTGGACGGATCAATATCTTCGGATCGGACATCTTCGTTTTGAAAGATGACCGTCTTAACGAATCGAAACGATTGGTATTTCTTGATGTAAAATTGCACATATCTGAAACAATAAATGATACGATATAAATACATAATGTATAGTAATGTATTTTTATTGCCATTTAAATTGCAGTATACGTAGTAAAAGGTTTTAGATATGCAAAATCAAGCTCGTATTGATTGTCGTGTCCAGCGGATTTATATTTATTTAGGACTTTCATCAGTGGAGACGATTGATTCAGTGTGGTGGCGAATGGTGCATACACACTTACCAATTTCATAAAATCATTCAGTTCTAAACAAGAAAACAATCTAATTTCAGAAACTGTTATTATAAAAATAAAATTTTTCCGTGACTTATTACACCGAAAACGGGGTTTCAATCCTATTAAATTTGTTTAATTTTATTATATTGTAACAGGTACAAATTATACCTATGTAAGCAAGTATAATTTCAATTTTACCATACAACACAAATAAATAATAGCGAGTTATTTTTGTTATTTATAAAACTATCAAAAATAATTAAATTAAATTAACTTATACATTTAATTTGTGATTATATAATTAATGGCCACCAATTAAAAGTTAATAATTTACTTTTTATTGTCATTTGCCATGCATAGTTGTAGAAGGTAGAGTAAATATCAAAGTCGCTATTATTCGATAATATTGTGATTGCTATTGACATACCCTCGACGAGTGTTACTATTATTTTGTTGATAACGTTCACTGTTTGGTAAGCATGTTTAGTATTTCGATGCAAATTTTTTTTTTAAATGATATACTTTCCAACTTTAAATTATATTTAAGCAGCGTATAGATCTTATCTTACCTTTATTTGTTTAACATAGCGGGATATTTTTAGGTAATTATTTAATATGTAGTAAGAAATGTAAAATTACATGAACATTTGTTCTACAGTAGAATATTGAAATAACTAATTTTCGTTTTATCACACCAGACAATAATTTTTTTATTCGACTTTGAAAAAACCATAAATTTGGGTATAATATAGAGATTAGCCAAATTTTGTATATGCTTAATGATGTGCTGGTTGGAACATATTATTTTCCTCGTATATTATGAAATGTAAGAGGCAGTAAAAAAACAAAATGTTAGGATTCTTAAAAGTGGATTAAAAAATAACTAACATGTATTCTTAAGCTTAGGTAAGTTTTTTTGTTAAGGTTTAAAAATTTGATCTTTACTAACGAAGTACGCATTGAATATGATTAAACGTTCACGTCTACATTTAAAATTGACATACATTATATAATTATTTAAACTAATAATGCTATGAATAAAATAATAACAATAAGATGTATACCTACCTATTGTAATACTAATTACATTTAACATCAATTATTAATCAATTGTATTCAATATTAAAGAGAATAATCGGTCAACGACCTTAAAATCTTTGAAATATTTTTATTTAAATTCCAATCACGTTATCATCAGGACATTAACATTATTTTTATATCCTAACACAAATAAATCTTCTATAACTTTAACAAATAGTAAACACACATGTTGGACAGAATCAGGGTCGGTATAGACCCTATTCTTTATAGGCTACTTAAATAATATGTTACCTAAACTATTTATTATGCATATGAAAATTGAAACAATGGCATTATAATGACAAATTCAAAATAAACAAACAAAAAAGATGAATAGTGTGTACCACTTTGCTGTACAGTAGGTGTCGAGTGGGTCACTTTAATGTGTTAAATTAGAATTTAATGATAATAATATAAAATCATTGTATAGGTACCTACAAAAACGATTTTAGCCTATATAAATATATTTCATGAAATTATTGCTATTAAAGTAATTTAATTTTACCATACAGTAGGTATCAAGGTTGACTTAATTGTTATCTGATAACATTCATTTGAAAATGTCATAGTGTGTGTTTAATATTATATTAACGTACCTTAAAAGTTTCAAGTACCCACAAATAATATTTTTAAATTACAACAAATTGATTAAAAATTATTATTATTCTTTTAAATATATATTAGAATTTCGTCCTAATTTTAAATTTAAATATCTATAAAAAAAACTGTGCTTATAAATATTTTTCCTAGATTTTTTGATTTCAGTATAAACTACATACTCTTTACTAATTTTTTTTCATTATTAATAGTAAAAAACTTATGAGGAATCTTGTATTATATTTTCAAATCTCAGATATAAAAAAAAAAATTTATGAATTTCTAACTCAAAAAAGTTTGCACATTTTCGTGATTTTGACAAATATTGTAATTTTAAACACGTATAAAAAAAATGTGACAATGCCTTTTAGATATTTTATAATTAGTATCATCAAGTTATGAGGTACCGGATATAAAATTGTAAAACAAACATTTGTAATCGACATTTAAAAAAAAAATTGAAAATTTAAAGTTTTTATAAATAGCTCGAAAAGTGTCAATATGTTTTGAACATTTTATCTAGTATGGAAAATGGTCTTATAAATATTTAGTGAAAATCAAAAGCATTGACGGTAAAATGTTTTTGGATTCCTACAAAAAAAATAATCTTTAATTATCTCTGCACCTGTTTATCTAATATAGGTAAGTACAGTATTCAATATTTATTAATTAATTTAGGATTAAAAATTGTTATGACAAATATAATATTTTATTAATATAATTATTTTTATATGTACTTTTAAAATAATATTTTCTTCATTTATAAAAATGGAAGGTTGAATATAGCTTGGTAAGCATTCGTTTTGATATTTTTTTAAATGTACACATTTATTAAAACATAAATTTGGCTTTTATATTATCTTTGGTAATTAATTTATACAGCAAGTACAAAAAAAAAAAAATAATAATAATAATAATCTCATATTTGTAGATTGCTTACAAATTAATAATTATACAATAACTAAACAAATAAAGGATTGAATTAAACATTTTTTTTTATTCTATAAGTATTTGTTCAGTGTACTCTCGGTAGAATTATGTAATATATGTATAGACTGTCTAGATTCTAGAGTACTTTTATTTTAATCCACGGTGTTATTTAATATTTATATAGGTACGTAGGTAGAAATTAATTTCAAAGTCATCCTATAACAAGCGGTTTTTATTAAAGTTTTTATACAGCTAAAATGTATTTAAGACTGTAAATTCTTATACATTTATGATTTAACTATTAAAATACTATATCATACAACATTAAGCAGGCAGCAGTATTGTTATAGTATACAATAATACTAATTTAAGTTACTATAAAATATAAGCTAATAACAATTATACAATTAATTACATAGGTATACCATGTTTTCTGATTAAATTATTGTCAGTTGCCCATTTCGCCCATCGATATTTTTTCCAAGTTGGTAATGATTTATTCTTTATCACCTTGGCTTGATTCAAAAATAGTGGCTGTGAGTATCGGCTTAATGCATTAGATTATTATCCTAAATTAATAGTTTAATATTAATAACAGGTATATAAACAAGGGATTCTAAAACCCAAGTCTGGGTAATTAATGATAATTTTTAATTGAGTTAAGTTTGGTTGATATAAAACATTTTAATAAGTTTAAAGTTAATAGTTATCCTAATTTTTTGTAACTCAGTAAGTTTAAAGTTATATGGTAACCGTCCCGCAAATAAGATAAAAAGTAATTCATCATTTTGTTCGTCGATGCTTACCGACTTCGGTCAGTAGCTCACCAGGATTTATTCAAAGGGTGGGGGGTCTAAAAAAATGTATTAAATTACTGTTTTTCTGTTCTTTTCCTGAGTATATACATACATTTTATTTCTTAATAAACACAATTTGCCGCGTTTAAGGCCAATAAAAAAAAACCACAATTATATTATTTACATTTTTAAAGTGATTTTTACAATGTTAAAATTGTGGTATAGTCATGACACAAACCAGGGAGGGGGCCCGGGGTCCACCCCCCTGGGTTCGGCACTGACTTCAGTAATTTTGATGGCCCGTGAACAATTTCCAAGTTCCTAATGTGGCATTTCAAAAATATTAATTGGTGACCCCTGGCATATAATATAGATGTGATAAGAGTTTCACCCCCCTCCTTAATTTATATAAAAGGAATAATACTTTTTTATTCTATTCTTTCTATTCTTCATTCTATAAGGGGCAACAAATACATTTCATTATAATGATAAAAAAAAAGTAGACACCTAATTATTATTATATTCTAACCATGATAGGTATATAATTACATTAAATATTTTTAATACGTATTTTAATTTCCGAATACATAATAAAAGTATTATTTATAAGATAGCAAATCGAAGTACTGAAAGAATAATTTATTTAAATATGTAGCTAAGCCCTGACATTTTGAGTTTTAAAATATTTGAATACCACAAAAATAAAAAAATCGGGTAAGTGGATGTCGCTCTGCTGTACAGCTCTGTCTGAACCGAGATGGTTTGTCAGCATAGGTTGTTATTTTATATTATATTTATAATTAGATTGTTATTATTAATACTTAAATTATTATTATTTGCATATTATCATATTATCATATTTATATATAATAATATACTTGAGAAGTCTCAAATACCCATGAATAATATTCTTAAACTTCCAGGTGCTTTTGAAAACTACTCAAAATCACCTCTCCAAGCACCAACTAGATTCACTTACCCATCGGAAAAGATACTGAAATTGAAAATTGAAGCATTATTTCGACTACTTATCTTGTAAACAGAAACACACGAAAAAAAAAACATACACACATCATTGTAAAATCAATACATTCATGTCTCCACTCAGAATCTAAAATATTAGATACAATTTATTAAATTAAAATTCCATAAAATCAAAATACACAATCCAAATTAAAAAATCAAAAATGTCTGTGTTCCATCAAAATAGTTAAAAATAGCATCTACGTATATGTGTAGTAGATGAATATTATAATTGGGTATTAGGGTGACCTTATCGTCCTGTTTTTCATTCCTCTGTTCTGTTGTCTCCTCAGGACACTAATATGTCTCGTTTTCAGAAGGTAGACCAAGAACTAACGAAAATAAAAAATACAATTTTGAGGTGACTGAGCATCAGAAATTCCTGGTATACAGTAAAACCTACATTAAAAGATGGCTTTCACTAATGCTTGCTTTAGAAAGAGTTTTGCAGTTATATAATATACGTATGCAAGGTTATTTTTCTAAGCATAAAAAATTGTCCAACAGTTTCAAAGTATTTCTCCGAGTGTCCAAATTCTGAGATAACGCTTTTTTTTGCCAAGTGAAAATATACGACTAAATTTGTGT